TTATACAGGGTTAATTATTTTCCATCATTCTGCCTTTAGCAACAGTCGTCTTAATTAAGGGGCCGAGTTCCGCTCCCTCCCTGGCCTGGCGGATCCTAATGAAATCACTGGAGCCGCGCGGTGTAAACGGGAGAGGGACGCCGGCCCTGCAGGACAAATAAAAGGTTCCCTCTCCTCCTGATTAATGCATAAAATTAACCCGGGCTTAACCTCCAACTCCTGACCTAGTGAATCACTGCAAGGCCCCCGCTCAGGGTGGCTTTTCCAGGGGCATTCAGACCTTGCTGGTGCCCCCCCGCTGCCTGGAGCGCTGTGGGACTGGCCTGGAACAGGATGCTCCGCTCAAACTGCCCCCTGGACTCCAGCACTGGCTCTGCCATCACCCCAGCAGCTCCTGGCTGTCCTGGCTCTGCTTTGGGGGTTTAAAGAAATTGCAGAAGTTTGCAGTGAGACTCTGAGTCACTTCTCCTCCCTGTGGCTCCAGACAGGACCGTGCTGGGTGGTCCGTGTTCCATGTTCCTGCCCAGCGGGCAGCCCCCCAAACCCAGGTGCTGTTTGCTCTCAGGGACCAAACACCGAGGGGAGGAAGAGCATTTAAACCAGCCAGGAGTCCCATCCCTGCCGTTGTCCCCCAGCTCACTCCCCAGTCCCTCGGTGCTGGCACCAAAAGGGCTGATCCCAACTGTTCCTCCCTGGCTTGCATTTCCTGACAGCCGCCTATTAAAGCAGGCCCGGGCTGCCGTGCCGGGGAGGCTCCGATAAGTGGATCCACATGCAATATTCATGGATGGCTTCAGAATAGTTACAGATCCATCACGCTTGGCAGCGGGACGGCGCGCTCCTAATGCTGGGCTTAAGCACCTTTTTGAGCCGGAGCCCTGAGGACGGATGAGTGCAGAGCTCGGCCGGAGCCGGGGGGCTGGCACGGGCTCCACTCACGGCACTCTTACCTTCAAAGCCCCCTGCCCACTCCATAGCCCCCTCCCACCTCCAGGGAAGCCCTGGAAAGCCTTTGGGGACCTGTGGCTGTGGGGTATCCCCAGCCACCCCATGATCCACCGCTCCTGCCCCAGGCTGGAGGGATTGCATACGGCCCCTCAGTGCAGCCAAACGGAGGGAGCGCGGCCGGAGTTTAATTCCCTCACTCCGGGAAAGGTTTGTTTACCAGCTTCTGGCCAGCACCACACTGCAGCTCCAAACCCAGCCTCATCCCCCAGGATTAATTTTTACACAATCATTCTGGAGTCTGTGATAATCACTCCATAAAAAAAATGAAGAGATTTGGGATTTTTTCCAGCGCGGAGGATTAGGTCTAAAGACAAGTAATCTGCAGGAAGCTCAGCTGCATGCACACCACTAATCGCTCCCAACTCTTCCCAGCTTTAGCCTTTTCATTAGGATTTTCCACAGTGGGGCTGCTCGTCCTTGCTGAGGTCGGCTGACACGGGCAGGCAGACACATCCCGAGGGACACGGCGGTGTGCCAGCCCACGGGGGCAGGGCAGCAGCCTGGCAGGTGGCAGTGCCGTCAATCCCTGAGGTGTCCTGCTTCCCCATGGTGCCCTGTGTCCCTCCAGAGCTCTGCATCCCTGTGGTGCTGGGCACACAGCTGGGCTCGCCACCTCTTGCCCCACTCCAGAGAGGAGCCTCTGGATGTCTGCAGTTCCTTTGGGAAGGAGGTGCAGCAATTGGCATGGAAAATATCTGACGCAGCTGGTGGGATCGTTTTAAAACGTAATAAACTATTAAAAGAGATGATGAGCTTAAAGCCTGAAGCCTTCAGTAAATTCCCAGTGGTTTAACTAGGGAAGAGTAAATAATAACCTGGGAGCTGGTGACTTCCCCGTTCCAGGGGCAGTTGTCTCCATGTCCCCCTGAGTGCCCAGGAGCCTGTGTCACTTGATGGCCTTGCCAAGCCCAGCTTAACTAACCCTGTACTTAGAGCAGCAGCGAGCAGAGGAGGTAACAACATGCACACCCACCAGTCCCTCCCCGTGGACACCCCAGGATTATTCCCACTGTTTCCCACTGAGGCTTGGGGCATAATTCCCACATTCCTGGTGGGACTCAGCTGGCTCCTGGAGCCGCCAGAAGGGTGAGGGCTTAGAGGCTGAGCGAAAACACTGCACGTTTGGCATTCCGTTGTGTCCAGCAAGCGTTTTTCCAAATATAATTAAAATAAGTACATCTCTGGGACCGGTCTGACCGCAGGGAGGAGGATGCAGTGCCAGGGTTTTAAAACAGAATAACGTAAGCACTTAGAAAAGGACTCGAGCAGACTTTGGGTACTTATGTTCCAAATAATTGTCCCAGGAAACCCGATTCAGCAGCCACCCAGGCTGAAAGCACTTAGGCACAGTGGGCAGGCGTTCAACAAAGCATTTAGAGACCCCGGCGCTGCATCAGCAGGAACCTCGGGGCTCCGGCCGGGAGTGACTCAGGGAAACCGCGGGGCTTGTGGCTGGCACGGACAGGGTCCTGCCCGGATCCTGCCTGAGTCTCACTGGGGTCCCCTTGGGATCCCCCCTGCTTCCAGCCTCAGTCCTGCCTGGCTTCCAGCGGGGTGCCAGCGGGGTCCCCTCTGGTCCCCAACACCCATGACAGTGTCCCCGCTGTGCCCCCCTGTTTGCAGCTGCGTCCTGTGGCTGCTGCCACTGCTGTAAGGGTTGGGGTGCAGGGGTTCCAGGAGCTGCAGGTGCTCACTCCTCACCGCCTTCCCCCAGCAATGTGTTTTCAGTCCGGGCAGAGCCACTGCAAACCAGCAGCCTGGGCCGCTAAAGGCGGCTCCTGGTAATAAATCCATGGATCTCCACGCCCCAGCAGGCTGGCAGGCACCTGGTTTTAAAGAGACTTTAAAACCACTTGGAGTGCAGTCAGGCAGGCCCAGACCCCCTTATGCTCGGAGACCCCAAACAGCAGCTTTAAAGGACGGAGGGAAAAGGTGGATTTCAGCAGGGGCAAATCTTCAAAGCACAACTTTCCTGTACAGTTAAAAAGACCCTGTCCCATTTCCATAAGTGCAAAGTGGGAACCTTTCCTAAGTGCCCAGTGGACCCAATGGGTGGGACACTGCCCTCCCTGCCCCTCATCCTCGAGGCAGCTGTAAAGCAGCCCGTGAGCAGCGTGGGTGCCTGGCCCAGCGGCTCCTGCCGAGCCTCCCACAGCCCCTCACTGAGGCGAGGCAGCTGCAGCAGAGCCGTACCTGGGCCTGCACTCCCGTGCAGCCTGCGGCGAGCAGAGCTGGGTGTCAATTACGGGAAAATCAATGGAGATGCTGCTCAGGACTCCTCACCATTCAGCACGGATGATATCCTTCACTTTCTAGCACTGATTCATTTACTTTCAGCCTCTCCAGGGGCTCCTGACATATTGCTATCTCGGAAGAATCTGAAGTAAGAACTGCCTTTGTTTCCACTGCAACTTGTTGGCTGCGGGGCCGCGGGGCTGGGGCTCACAGAGGGTCAGGAGAGAGGCTGCGGCGCACGGCGGGGGGAAACATTTCTTACCAAAACACCTTCCCAAGGTGCTCCCAGACCTCATTTGCATGGGCAGGATACAGGAAGAAAGGGGCCCAAACCTGGGGCTGGAGTGCCAGCCAGTTGGTTTATCCTGGGAAGGTTGGGACTTCACTGGGACAACACTACCCGTGTTGAGGCTGGGGACACCATGCACTGGGTGGACAGCAGGCACCATGTGAAAGTCACATAAAAACCTGTATCAAACAGCTGTTATATCCTACATTCCCAGCCTTTCCTCTCTCTCCACCAAAGCTACAGGCATCCCACAGGAGTGGGATATAGACCTCGGGCATGCTCAGGTCGAACTCCCACTGCAGGCTGGAGAGCCACGCTGTGACACAAACCCCAGCCCTGCAAGCTGCTCGTGTTCCTGCTCTTCAAAGAGAGCCTCGTGCATGGAGAGCGGGTAGGATATAGCCCAGAGCAAGGACGGGGCTACAAAGGCAAGATTTATTATTTATAAGGCACTTCAGTGAACTTGGGGCTGGGAGGCAGAGTGGGCTGGGGGGAAAAGCTTTGTGAGGGAAAAATGGAGTTTGAAAGAACACTGAGAGCAGTGCAGCATGCAGAAGTCATGCTCATGAGGGACATTCCTTGGATCAGAAGTCAGGCTCTCTTGGAGTTCACGTGGAATTTGCTGCGTGATTTAGGGGTCAGTTTAATGAACCGTGCCCCAGACATCAGGCTTCTAAAGAACGAGGGTCTTGCAAGCCAGCACTGGTTCTGCACAGCCCAGCACAGGGTCCTGCAGCCCTGTGTGTGCCATCTGTGATCTGTGGTGTCACAGGGAAATGGGGGCTGGGGACACGGAGCACCCACCTGGACACAGCCACGGTGTCCCCAGCAGCCCAGGTTCCCCATGGCTGAGCCAAACTCAGCCCCCCACACACCCAGAGGGTCTGGGGGATCCCTGCGGCACTGAGGCTGCTGGAAGGTTCCTGTGGCTGCCAGGATGAGCCCCCCCAGCCACCCCATGCTTTTGGGGGATCGCTGCAGAGCACCCCAAGGCAGGGGGAAGGGTGCTCTGGGCACCCCAAGCTCGCTGGGGGCACACTGGGGATGTCAGGGTGGGCACACTTGGGCCATGTACTGGGCCTTGCTGGGAGGAGACCCTGGGGCTGCCAGGAGGAGAAACCTGGGGCTGCTGGGGAGCACAGCAGGGCTGTTGCAGAGGTACCAGCACTGCCAGGGTGGGACAGGGGCTTTTCGGAGGGCACTGGATCTGCCGTGGGGAAACCTGGGTCTGTTGAGGGCCTCACTGGGACTGTCGGGGGGAGCCCGGGGCTGTCGGGGTGCACCGGGCCGGTGCTGTCGGGGCCCGCCGGGGCCGGCAGTGCCTTCTCCGCGGCTGCGGGGGGGCCGTGCCGGTGTCGGGGGCGGGCGGGGGGGGCTCAGCGGCGCCGCCGGGGCCGGTGCTGCCTCTCCCGGCTGCCATTTCAGCTCTCCATCCCTCCATTTTCCCTCGGAGCGCGGCGGTGCTGGCCCGGCCCCGGCCCCGCCGCCGCCCCCATGTAGCGCCGCGGCCGCCCCGCACCCGCCCAGCCGCGGGGCCGCCTCCGGCATGCGGAGCTGCAAGATGGTGCGGGTGGCCAGCGTGCTGGGGCTCGTCATGCTCAGCGTCGCGCTGCTCATCCTCTCCCTCATCAGCTACGTCTCGCTCAAGAAGGACAACATCTTCGGGGCGCCCCGCGCCGCCGGCCCCGCCGGGCCCCGCATGTACATGTTCCACGCGGGATTCAGGTGAGCGCGGCCCGGGATGCTCGGGATGCCCGGGATGCTCGGGGGGCCGGGATGGCGGCCCCCGGTCCCACCGCAGCGGGGATGCGGCTCCATCCGCGCCCGGCCCGGCCCGGGGAGCGGGAGGGACCGCGGGAACGGGGACGGAGCGCCGGGCGTGGGAACCGCCGCCCCGGGATGCTGAGGGGTGGGAGGGCTCCGGCACCAAGGGGTGTGGGCGCGGAACGGCGCGGTACGGGTCGGAACGGGTCAGAAGGGGTGAGAACAGGTCGGTACAGCCCGGAAGGGCCCCGTCCGGCCCGGTAACAGCCACATGCGGGCGGGAAGCGGCGGGCGCTGTCCGCGGTGCTGATGGCGACGGCCGCGGGGGCGGCCCGGGCACGGCCGCTAACGGGCTGCGGGTCTGTGTGCGCGTGTGTTGCGTGTTTGTGTGTTGCGTGGGTGTCTCTGCCTGTGCCTGCGTGGGTGTCTCCGCGTGCCGTGCGTGGGTCGGTGCCCGTGCGCCCTTCCCCAGGTCCCAGTTCGCGCTGAAGTTCCTGGACCCCTCGTTCGTCCCCATCACCAACTCGCTGAGCCAGGAGCTGCAGGACAAGCCCTCCAGGTGGGCCTTCAACCGGAGCGCCTTCGCCCACCAGAGGTGAGCGAGCCCTGGGCACGGCCCGGGCTGTCCCCTGCCCCCCGGGATTTAAGGGAATGCACTCAGGGACTGCTGAATGAATACTCTGAGCTCTGAGGGATTTGCCAGCGGCGAGAGACAAAGGCTGAATCAGAGCATTTCCCCAGACGGTTGCAGCTACCCTGGAAGCCTTGATTATTTCAGAGCAGGACACGAGGCTGCAGCACACGTTATTGTACTGGAACGTGACCCAGTTTCCTGGGGCGCGATTTAAAGTGCCGTTACTCCAGGATAAATGGCTGGGGTTTCAAAGTGGAAACACGTAGGGCTGGAACAGCCACGCAGTGCCATGTTCATGGAGGCCAAAACACGCCCAGGGAAACTTCCCAGCTGCCGGCAGTTCTGAGCAAGTGCAGTGCTGCTGCTGCCTCCGGCTCCGCTCCGGCTGCGGGGGCGGGCACACAGCTCTGTTCTCTTTATCTATTCACTGATTACATAGATTAAACTTCACCATAAACGAAAATAGAACCATTTAGCCATTTAAGACAGCTACGGCCATCCTGCACTGTAATTTCGTCCTGACAAATGCCTGCTGCTCCAGGGACCACCTCACCACTCAGTTCACATATCCCACGCTAGGTGCCAGAAGCCAGGCCCCTCAGCTCTGCAGCCAGGCAGGATGGGTTTGCTGCTGCACCCCTCGGTGCAGGGTTTGGGCTCCTCTCCTCCCTTCAGGCACCCCTCCAAACACAGCAGGACAAATAATTCCCTTCCAGTGCCACCATATGCTGCCCGCTGCCCTCAGGAGCCGTGGACCATAGAGAGGAGATGGCACTCTGCCTGGCCCATCTTTTCCCTGGGACATCCCAGACTGTGTGACAGGGGCCACCCAGTGTTACTCCATCCCTGGCACCACCAGCTCCATAAGCTTGTCCCTGTGCCACCCCTCTGATGATTTTAGCTGATGCCTCAGGAGCTGCCTTTGCACTTGTCCGTCAGCCAGAGCCCATAATTAGGGCACCCAGTGGGACTCCATTAATGCTCAGACATTGGAGGATGAGAGCTGGAGGAGAGGTTGTTTGTTTTCCATAAACATGAGCAAATAAAGTGGTATTGGGTTTCTAATTTTATGCCCTGCTAGGGAAATTCCCGAGCAGGGTTGGTTTTGTTTGCTTTGTAAGTCTCCCTAATAACCCTTGTAAAGTTGCCGGCGTGCTCGCCCAGATTAGACATTAAGGAACTATATTTGCATAGATGGAGACAGAGGCTGTCGCTTGGGTTTGGGATTCCAAGCTTGTTAATGAGAACATGAAGATATAGATACTTACAAATTGGCTCCTGTTAATTCAGCTGGATATCCTGGATTTGGCTCACATACCTGGACCCACAGAGCCCCAGCAGAAAGCTGCCCACACAAGTCACAGCACCAACAGGACAATGTCACAGACTCCCACACCAGGGTGACCGTGGCAGGGTGTACCATGAGCTGTACCCTTGACTTACACAGACAATCCAATGTTTTAATCCTCACACAATTCCAAGAGGCACAGACACAGCCTTAGCTGGTGCCAGTCAGAACCAGCCTGTAGAGCCAAGTGGAGTCTGAGGTGAGGAGCCAGCTCCCTAATTCCCAGCTATTTATATTAATTTAAAAGCCACTGCACTATGTTGCTCTGGAAACTACTTTAAAAAAAAAAAAAAAAAAAAGCCTACATGGAGGGGAAAATCCACAGCAAAAAGAAAGGAATATAACTCTGTGTTTTCTGCTCTTTTGCTCGTTTCCTTTAGGCAGGAAATCCTCCAGCACGTTGACGTCATCAAGAACTTCTCTCTGACCAAGAGCAGCGTTCGGATCGGGCAGCTGATGCACTACGATTATTCCAGCCATAAGTACGTTTTCTCCATCAGCAGTAACTTCAGGTCTCTGCTCCCCGACGTGTCTCCCATCCTGAACAAGCACTACAACATCTGTGCCGTGGTCGGGAACAGCGGCATCCTGACCGGGAGCCAGTGCGGGCAGGAAATCGATAAATCAGATTTTGTCTTCCGGTGCAACTTCGCCCCGACCGAGGCTTTCCAGAAAGATGTTGGAAGGAAAACCAACCTCACCACCTTCAACCCCAGCATCCTGGAGAAGTATTACAACAACCTCTTGACCATTCAGGATCGCAACAACTTCTTTTTAAGCTTGAAAAAGCTCGATGGGGCTATTCTGTGGATCCCCGCTTTTTTCTTCCACACGTCGGCGACGGTCACGAGAACGCTGGTTGACTTCTTCGTGGAGCACAGAGGGCAGCTGAAGGTCCAGTTGGCTTGGCCAGGGAATATCATGCAGCACGTTAACAGGTGGGTGGGTTTGCCTCGCGTTTGACTTGACAAAATACGATCTGTACAATTGTTCCAATGCGTGTCTCATTTATTTTCCCCTTCACGCCTGATGGGGCAGGCACAGCCTGGCAAGTCAGGACCTGGCACCGCTTGTCTTGAGAGCAGCTTTGTTATCGCTTCAGCACATCCTCTGGTTATTGCTGGGCAGATTGATTCTGACACACCTTCCTTTCCCCAGGTACTGGAGGAACAAGCACCTGTCCCCCAAGCGGCTGAGCACAGGTATCCTCATGTACACCCTCGCCTCTGCCATCTGTGAGGAGATCCACCTGTATGGATTCTGGCCCTTCGGCTTCGACCCCAACACGCGGGAGGACCTCCCGTACCACTACTACGACAAGAAGGGAACCAAGTTCACCACCAAGTGGCAGGAGTCCCACCAGCTGCCTGCAGAGTTCCAGCTGCTCTACAGGATGCACGGGGAAGGACTGGCCAAACTCACCTTGTCGCATTGTGCCTAAGAACCTACATCTCCAAGTGCCAAATGATTGTCTAAAAAGTGCCCAAATCCGACTTAAACATTCTCCAGATAGAATTCTAAAAAGGAAACAAACCCACCCTAAAAGTCTTTTCCATAATGTAAAGATGCTTTTTAGCCACTGCCCTTCCAGGGGTTTCAGCTTATTTAGCGGTGCAGAAGCTTTTATCACGTTCTGTGGGTGCAATTTGTGCAGCAGCAAAGTTGAGATATTTTGCATTTCCAGATAAGCCACTCAGTATGTTTTAAGAGCTCTTCATATTTTAGCGTCCCACTAAAAGCCCTAAATCTCTTCATTTTATTGTTCCTACCCCGTTAGAACTAGAAATGCTGGTTTTAAAAGGTTTTGCTTCTTTTGTCTATGTTGCTCTCAATAGCTCAGCGCTGCCGTGGCTGACAGATAAAGGCACTGGGAACCCCAGTGCATCGTCACGAGCAAATCCCTCTGTGTGGATCCAGAGTTCCACCGCTTGGGTATTTTCATATTTACTGAATTTTACATTTTTTAAAGAATAACAAGAAGAAGGCCACGATATGGTTCGCACCTTAGCTAGGTGTTTATATGACTCTTGGAATACTTCATTGTTTTAATTCCATTTGGGACACATCCTAGTCCAGACTATAGAGGCTGAAGCATGTTCATTCCCATCCATCTGCTGCTATTGGGTCATTTGTTTTAAAGCTGAAAGATTTCCCCATTTACATCTGTAACTCCCCGGTCAAACCACTGAAGTAGTGGCCCCATTTCCCAGTCACCAGCAGCCCTCCAAGGCAGGCAGAGGCAGACAGGGCTCCCTCAGCACAAGGGGAAATCAGGCTGCTTGCAGGCAGGACAAACCTTAGGGTCACTTAGGGCTGGGAAATGTGGGCCATTATGGCTCAGGATAAAGAATCCTGGGAAATAACTGGGTTCCTTATTACAGCAAGTATTTAAACATTTTCTACTGTTCTGTGTGAGAACTGACCACGCACTGAAAAAGGATGCAAAATCCAATTTAGATCATACTTTAAAATGGCACATGCTAATTTTTCTCAGCCTCTTTACCTGCAAGCAGACGTAGGAGGTGAGGAAGGAGATCTCTGGTACAACACCCAACCTGAGCAGCCCCGAGCACCTCCGGGTGCCTGTCGTGGCACCGCAGCTCCACTGCCCCCAGAGCCAGCCCCGTTCTCCCCATTGAACTGGCAGGAAAGCAGGGGCTAATGTGCTCCATGCAGGTTTTGGAACCTGAGAGAGGGACAGGACTCCCTGCCGGTGCCAAGGACAGGCCTGGCATCACGACTGGAACTTCCCAGAGGCACTGAGAGGCACCGAGTGCAGAGGAGGAAGCACAAAACCGACTGCAAATATTGGGGAAGGGGAATACAGAGAAATTATTGACAGAGCGCCATATTCCATCATTGATTTTTAAGCAAAACTCCCCATCGATGCCGCAGCCCCACATTGAACATTTCAGAATCATTGATTTTAATGGGACTCCTGCCCCACGATCGATGGCACAGCACAGCCCAAAGTAAATTGCTTCTTAGTATCAATATTTTTTTGCCCGAGCTCCCTCAATGTGGAAAAACCGTCGCCAAACGTGCAGCTTTTGTTGTGCCTGGTGGGGTCTGAGGGAGAGATGAGGACAGAAGGGGACAGAGAGGACCGTGGCACAGGAGGAGAGGCTCTGTGGGGCTGCCTCTC